TAAATAACATGCGGGAATATAATTGATATCTGAGGTTAGTGGGAGATATATATATCACCCGCTCAACAATTCCCGGGAATTTCGTTTTATGTTAAAAGCAGTGGAGTTTTTAAAAAACAATGAATGTTAAGACATTTATATTTAGATACGATATTTATGTTTTGATTGTAGTTTGTAATTATTACACGATGGTTCCACAACATTCAATGCATACTTAAATATAATCTACTAATCTTCAAAATCTATAAGTATAGGATAAAACTGGTTCTGGTTATGTTATTTGTAATTTGTATTATATGAAAAAAAGTATAGGATAAATCAGTTATTAAATGCTCGATTTTTGATACAGGGTATATCCCTCGGTAAATACAACATATCAACCCTCGGTCCCTACGGTCCTTCAGGTAGATATATTGTATTTCCCTCAGATATACCCTGTATCAAAAACCAACCTCCATATATCAACATGGGAGGGAAGTATATTTCAAGTTATCTCACCCTAAGTGTTTTATATGATTGTATAAGAGCATTGTATAACTGCAATATAAAACCAACACTCATCGTATATAACTCTTGAGAAAGATATACAACTCCTGGATAGCGTATACAACTCCTGGGCAGCGTATACAACTATTCGACTTGATATACAACTGCTGAATTTAGATTAACCTTATATTGATTAAAGATAAGAGTGGGATAATAAGATCATATAATGGTTGATTCTGTATATCGTTAAACTCTCGTGAGTATATGATATATTCACTCATTCTCTTCAGTCACTCATGAATATATCATATACTCACTTGAGTATAAACACGATAAAGTGAGTATATACACGATATACGGAATCAACCATTATATAATCTCATAGTATCTTTAGTTTTGTATCATTATTTTGGGATATTCTTCAGTGAAAACCACATGTCACTTTGATTACAAAAATGAAATAAATATATATTCAAGTCTATTTGGTTTCATGTTGAATTTATACTGGTTGGACAAATCATTTACAAAAATATATGGTTTTGATATGGGTTATATCTATTTATTATAGAATATGGCTCATATTCTTAAAAGTCCACAAACATGAAAATAACCACATTTATAATATAGTACCCCATGCTATAGTATTTATAGTTTTTTTGCAATTATGTGCTCATTTCCTGATAAATGTGTTACATTTATTAATTTGGAGAATTTACCTGTTTGTGGGAAATTGTACACTTTGAATCTTATATTACTACACCATTTGAAAACATAATATGGATAAATTAGGAGATATTATATTGGAGATAATGAAGAATACATTGGTTGTACATGCTGCTTGCAATTTTTTCACCTCCTATAGCTCTGAATCTGCCTATAATAAATAATAAACAGGACAGGAGGGTGATCAATGGGTAGAAGCTGGGCTGGATGAACAAGGCTATATTTGCAGGACTTCTTGTTCCCAATGGTTGTTGATATAATAAGCATTATTCTATAGTTATTGCAATATTCATAGCAATTTTGTCAAAATAAAAATGGTAATTTTGTAATCAATGGAAAAATTGGATATTTTGGCAATAGACTAGATGCGTGTAGAAAAAATCTTGATTTACGCCATTAAATATTCAAAATTCAGTCAAAGCGATGTTATATTTGAAATCTACATGTAAAAGTACATCTAGAAATATGGTTTCAAAAATTGTTTATCAAGTTTGAAAATTTAATTATTTTTGAAAGTGTGACTTCTAGTTCGGGTTGATTCTCCATAGAGCCCATGCTACAAAATCACAAAACGTGAAATATCTTTTCTTATATTGGTCAGATAACATTTTCATTTACTGGACATAATTTGATTTGCATAACTATTAGATACATAAGGGTTATATGAAATTTGAACCACTAAAACAGATGTTATTTAAGTTAAAGGGAACTTTCTACTATACCCGCCATGCTATCTGACCCGAACGAGCCACCTGGTGGTGAAACTGGTAACTACCTACTCGCATCTGCGTTATTGAATATGGTGCCATGGATTTTTGCTATTTAATTGACTAATAACAAGACTGACAATAACAATGGTGTAACTGCAACATGCTCCTCCTACTCCATTCAGATAATGGTCCAGTGTTGCTGACTCTGCACTTTTGAGCCTGCTTTGCAAGGGTTCACAAACTTTTTTTACATGCCTTGGGATCCCCTACAATAATCTAAAGTCAAATTGAATCTAGGTGTTTAGGACACAAATGGCCTTGGCCCTGAGACATATTTAATGATGGTCTCAGCTTGGCCGTAGTACTTCATGGTCATTCTTTAGCATGATCAAAGAAAACAAGATGGGAAATATTGACATTAGATTCACTTTTGCCAGGAGAACAAAACTAGATATTGCTTAAATCTAAGTTGACATCAATCAATAAAGAAACTCCTAGATTGACACATTTAAAATAGATTGTCTTAAAGATGGGTAATATAATATTTGTGATTGATTTGCGGCAGGGTAAGAGCTATCGCAACTTTTTGGTCAGTTGAACAACCATTGACTACATGGCCTTAAATTCTTGATGATTTTGACTTGTCTAATCTGTGTTTCATTAATATGTGAGTGAACGGGAGAAAATAATTATGCAAATGCACAAATGATGAGCAAGGTTTCTGAGAAGTGGGAACATCTTTTACCTTTGCACGAGTACTGACAATACGTGTGCATGTACAATATGTGAAAATGAAGACAAATCTATATAAAGTATGTAGATGGATAAACTCGACCATATTGACTAAATTTTTGTCTCCCCTTTAAATTGCCTCAGATAATTTTATAGATCCTAGTTGCGCCACTCTCAGGTATAGGAGATTTGATATAATTGCCTTGTCATTGGTATGGGTACTAGAGTATGGATCAGTCCAGAGTTATTGAATGGATTTAATTGTTCAAGTCCAGGGCAGTCTTGCTCCTACATGAATGCAATAAAAGATAAAAGGAATGTTAATCAGGAACATGCAAATGCCAGTATGAAAATGTTCTAAGTGTCAAATACAATAGACCAAATTGATTTGCATGCCAGTATGAAAATGTTCTAAGTGTCAAATACAATAGACCAAATTAATGAGTTTTCAAAGTGCCTCTCAAAAAATTAAATGATTGGAAATAGTTTCAAACATAAAACATTACTTCAATGTCATAAATCTTTGTTATGGGGTGCACCCCAGTTGTCCGAAACCCAGTTGTCCGAAACCCAGTTGTCCGAAACCCAGTTTTCCGAAACCCAGTTGTCCGAAACCCGGGTCCGAAACCCATTACTCCGAAAAATATAGTCATCATTTACCAGAGAAAGGGGAGACGTACTTAAGCTTAGGCCAGTTTCATGCCATGTATTTGGCATTGACGGCGCATTCTGATGTTCATAGATCTCTCTCTCACTTTGAATTGCATCCACGCGTTACCAGAATGACAGGAACGGGGGATTTATTTTACATTAATTGTGATTCTAAAAAAAGAATATCAAAACACAATATATATTACGGAACAGTTTATCTTATCTTCTTCAATCTCTTTTATATAGGCAAAATAAAATGAATCATTTTGAAACAGATAAAATAAGTTTACTCATATAGTACTTTAAGAATAATTACGTTGTCAAAATATTTCGTCGTATTTAGTTTCTTAGTCTCTGTATTTTATCAAATCGTAAAAGAACAAAACATTCTTATAACTTAATCACTTTGGGATCAACTGGAAACGAAGGCAGGCTGTCCTCGTATCAAAATGGATGTTCTCCCATTCGCAAGAAGTTTCATTTTCGCCATGTACTCACTTCATCCTTTTAATTTAATCTCTATTTCTCGAACAGAGTACGTAAGTGAAGAATAAGTTTTGGTTTCAAAACATGTACATGTATGTCAACTTTACTAAATAAATGCCCACTGGCTTGGGAAAGCTATTTTTCCTTTTATGAACGCCCATCACCCATTGGAATAATGTTGTTCCCTCTTGAAAATTGTAGACCCCTATGTATGTTGTGTAAACGCCATTTTACAATGAGAATAACATAATTTAACTTTGTTTGTTTGAACATCTATATCACCTGTATATAAACTTTTTTAGGCTAAACATTAAACAATTAACGTCTTGACTTAGCATATTTAGCCTAATTTTGCAATGATGTCAATGTTATTCCAATGTTATGTTGTGATTCGCAAAGGTTGCTACAACGAGATTCGTTTAAAAAATTGTATTTTTCAAATAAGATCCCCCTAATTTTCGGAGAACTGGGTTTCGGACAACTGGGTTTCGGAAAACTGGGTTTCGGACAACTGGGTTTCGGAAAACTGGGTTGACCCCCTCAGATTATACTAAGCGCATGAAGTACCTGCATAGTCTACTTATAAACTACCCTCTGCCTAGTATAGACTATATTGCAGCCTTTAGCAGCACCGCCCAAAAGATTGGTGCCTGTGACAGCCTGGGTAATAAATCATTTCAAATCTACCACGCCAACCCTTTCTCAACCAATCGGCGAAGAGGAAGGAATGCATGCTAAATACGTGCTAAGAGCTCTTATACGTGCTTATCAACTATGCAGTGATGTCATAGGAAAAGACCATATATGTATAGAAAGATGTATTTCGACGACAAATTCTGGAGACGAAGCTCTCTTTAAATAAGTGAAGTTAAACGAATGCAAAGGGTGTGCACACACAAGGTGTTTGCTAATATGAGTTACTAGTATCATTTATAATCTTATATCAGCTCTTCTGATCAGGAAGTTACAACTGTCATTTACCCTTTGCATTTGTGCGACTTCACATCTTAAAAGAGAGCTTCCTCTTTGTAGTTTAACTCAGAGATATGTCACCGTGGGCATGATGTCACATAGGTACAGGTGGACGAGGTGGTGTCTCCTCAAGTTTTATGTCCCCTTTTAGAATTTTGCAGTCCCCGGTAATAGTGATGTTTCGTTCAGTACAATATTCAATAATTGAAAAGGGGATTCCCCTATTTAAAATGACGAAATCTTCCTGACATTGCAATAATTTGAATGAATGAAAATTTGAGCGACTATTTGAGTGGTTCCCGATCGAGTAGGCGAGATATTCACATCAAGAGGTGAGTCATATTGATTATGAAATTTGCAAGAACTTAATGTGGATACTTTGGATCAGGTTTAACTCACAGATACATCCAAATTTCCTACTTTGATGATTTTGTTTTCATGTCTGGGCGATCTAAGAAAACTGAAAAAAAAATATTTAGAACTTTCGAGAATTTTCAACTAAAAGATCGTGATAACATGGGTTTGTATTACTTCGGTCCAAAGCCTTCTCTATATTCCGGCTTTGAGGAGGAAGATTGAGCTGCCTAAGTATTATAAATATTGTAAATCATTGTGTCACACGCACAGTAAATATGGCATAATAATATGAAATATACCTTTATGTATAGATTTGAAGAACATCAGCTCACATCCCCGTCTGAATCTATTGTTATATTTGATTTCTTTAAGCGAGAATAATTTCAAATGTTATTCACGTCCAGAACCGGAAGCCATTTTTAGCTACAGCGAGAAAATTTCACCATGTGTCAAACTCCGAAATGAAATTTTGAAATATCTAAATCCAGACAAGCAACGCTTCATCCTAAATATGATTAATATTCTTAAAAATATTTATAAAATTTATTAAAAATGAGTTCTAGGTGCGTGTAGGTGCGTGTAGGTGCGTGTAGCACAGTACATACGAAATCAATGAAGTTTCGTCTAGCTGTAAGCTAGAGACTCGAGTAAGGTTTGTAGATAACACATCTTTCATACTGTGCTCCTATTGTACTATTTCTGGAAAAATACATATTTATAGTAGCTCAACATGCAGATCTAAACCTCCGTCTAAACTTATTGAACACAGCTGGCTCAGCTGACACACCGTTAGAATATACCGGCTTGTGAAGCGTTTTTCTCCAACTTCCAGCTGGTGCGCTAGCATAAATAACGGTATTTAGGAAGATAATTGAATATTACTTGCCCTTTTTTTGACGCGTGGTGTCAACAAGTCCTATTTGTTGTGTAATTTGCAGTTAAATTGGAGAAATTTCTGTTCCGGCGCGCACCATCTTTTAATTTTTTGCGCATGCGCTCATAAACTTCTCTTCATTGCAATGCCAACGGAACTTCCCAGAGCTGACTTCTGTCAGCCCGGTAGAGTAAGTCTAAACCATGCAACAGTTTAGGTACTCACTTCGAGAGGCAAGTTAGATTTTGAAACTTATGGCTCTCCAACGGAGAAATGGAGAGCGGAATAATAGTGACCTTTGAAACATGAATTAAGTTGATCCGGGGCTTACTTTTGTTTTCTAGACTAACTATTTTCAACCTTTTTTTGGGGTTGTCGAGTTGGCCGAGAGGGCTTGAGCGCCAGCACATTTAGGCGATTGGGCACCGTAACCATGAGGTTGCGAGTTCGAGACGTGTGTGCTCCTTGTGTTTATTCATTTATGACCACTCTGACTGTCTGAGCTTTCAGTTGCAGAGGTATTAACCCGCTCTGAGTTCTTAAGGACAGTTGAGCAATGTGTATATGTGTAGGAATATATAAGCGCAAATGTCAAAGGGAAAAAAGGATAGGAGATTTGTTTTGTCAACTAAAGTATATTAAAATGACTCGACACTTTCCTCAAAAAGTGGAAGTGCACATCTTTTTACATTCGACTTATAGGCTCTAACCCTCGCAAATTTGGGGTGGCGAGCGGTTAAATTATTCACTGGATTGCAGCCATTTTAGGTCTCACGAGATCTAGTGACTTTCGAAAGTAAAGATTTGCTACAAAATAACTCGCATCAGCTAAATGTGAATGGACACGTGATCTTTTAATGGCAATGGCCATGCGCATGTAAAGTACAATGTGCATGCACGCATGCTCAAAAGTTGAAAAAATGGTGCGTGCCAGGTCATTTCTCCACTTTAACTGCAAATTACACAATAAGTAAGACCTATTGTCACCATGCGTCTTAAAAAGGGCATGTTACATTCAATTATCTTGTTAAATACCGTTACTTATTCCAGCGCGCCTGCTGGAAGTTGGAGAAAACCACTACACAAGCCGGTATATTTGAACGTTCCCTAGCTGGCTTTTGAGCCAGCTGTGTTCAGTAACCCTATTACTTCATGTCCAATCAAATTGCAGGATGTAATCACATGAACAATCATGAGCACGTGCTCTCTCAGTGCCGCGTATGAGCAAAGTAAAATTTGAAATTGTGGAAATGGTTTTAACATCAGTTCAACATCATCATTTCAAAACTACGGAAATACTATATTGAAATGACTCGATCCAAACTTGTAGAGAACACACATAAAACTACAGCGAACATTGGGAGATCCATTCAATGGCAAATTTACTTCCATTTAAGCTCACTGACAACTTTTATTTAACCACAAGGTGCTACCTGACCTCATGATCTGAATATTTAGTTATCTGCAACTATTTCACAATAGTTTGTGAATAATCAAAGTGATTAGTATGACATGTTTTTATAAGGAAGTATAAATATATAGATTAACTGATATAGAATGATTTTTATTGCTACAAGAAACAGATATTTGTCTAGTGCTAGAAAGTAGACATTTATTTAAATAGCCCCAAATGTCAGGTTATTTGTTATAAGTTAGTGCTGATGTGGGTTTCATTTATTGGACAGACACTATTATTTGTGTGGGTGGTACCTCCCCAATCGTCTACGTCACTATGCTGGCTCTAGATGTCATTCTTGATTGTAATTTTATTCAATTTTTACAAGTAGTATGGTAATGAAGAACTTCTAAAGTACAAATTTAATTCATGTTGTATAAAGGAGTATGTTGACCTAAGCTATCTGAACTATTATCATTGGGAATTTAATGATCAATTCCCAAATAGTTGAGTGTCTGTCCTAAGCCTATGCCATGTCTATCTTCCCAAGATTTACAGTCTCTGGAAATTGCGCAACATACCAATACATAATATGTACATTGAAACAGGTATATATGAACACCTTTCTACAATATACACATTGAAATGTGAACATATGAACACTTCTTTACAGTGAACACATTAAAATATGAACATCTTGAAATGTGAACATATGAACACCTCTTTACAGTGAACACATTAAAATGTGAACATCTTGAAATATGAACCTATGAACACCTCCTTACAGTGAACACATTAAAATATGATTATCTTGAAATGTGAACATATGAACACCTCTTTACAGTGAACACATTGAAATGTGAACATGTTGAAATATGAACATATGAACACCTCTTTACAGTGAACACATTGAAATGTTAACATGTTGAAATATGAACACCTTTTAAGAGTGAACACATTGAAATGTGAACATCTTAAAATATGAACATATGAACACCTCTTTACAGGAACACATTAACATGTGAACATCTTGAATTATGAACATATGAACACCTCTTTTCAGTGAGCACATTGAAATAAGAACATCTTGAAATATGAACATATGAACACCTCTTTACAGTGAACACATTGAAATGTGAACATGTTGAAATATGAAGATATGAACACCTCTTTATAGTGAACACATTGAAATGTGAACATGTTGAAATATGAACATATGAACACCTCTTTACAGTGAACACATTGAAATGTGAACATGTTGAAATATTTACACCTCTTTACAGTGAACACATTGAAATGTGAACATGTTGAAATATGAACATATGAACACCTCTTTATAGTGAACACATTGAAATGTGAACATGTTGAAATATGAACATATGAACACCTCTTTACAGTGAACACATTGAAATGTGAACATGTTGAAATATGAACATATGAACACCTCTTTACAGTGAACAAATTGAAATATGAACATCTCGAAATATGAACATACCATATTTCAATTAAGTCATCTGGAACTTTATGACTCCCCATGTTTTCATAACTTTGAAATGTGATCACCTTAAATATGAACAATGCACTTTTAGCATGGTGTTCACTTAGTCAGGTTTTACTGTTTATAGAAATCTAAAGAATATTCTAGAAACTCAGACTATGCTCGTCAGCCAGTTGGCACAATTTGATTGGCTTATTGATTGAATACAATATATGTTTGTTATTATGTATTTACTATTGGTAAAGAGGAAACCCCTCAAGATGAATCACAAGTCTGTTAACAGGTTAAAAGTTTGTTCTATACAGGTGTACACACCCTTCACTTTGTATTACTTATCAACGGATACAACATAGAACTTCTGAAACAGCAAACAACAAACAAACAAACCGACCCAAACATCATAAAAAGTGAACAACATATTTTTCAATAATTGTTAAGAATAATACATTATTAATGGGTTTTAGGGCTGAAATATAGTAAGTGTGATCTCACTGTTCAAAACAAAATTTCAAAAGAATAAAAGTACAAAACTTCATCACTGGGTTTGTACCCAAGTATCACCAAATACTTCTGGTTGAAAAAAAACATCTTTGTGCTCATAAAATAGAAACTTCTAAATTTATTTTGCTATTAGTGATATGTTGTAATTTGAAACATTATAATTTATTTTTGAACATGGTATATTTCAACACGATTAAATTTCAATTAATTTGAAAATTCATTAATTTCACAGGTATTAAATTTCAGGGATTTGACAATTTCATTTGAAATTTCATTATTCTCTGAATCCTCAAGCTTTGTAAACTGATCCATTATTTTCTCTTTCCGTAGCTTGGTCAACGGCATGTTGCATCTCAAGCTCTATTATAACATCATTATTTGACTTGTTGGTCTCATAATCCAATGTTATTTAACATGATGAGGTCATCTATTACAGTTTTATTATCAGTTAAGATTACTGTAATACAATTATTTATGACCCCAGAATCCGGGTTCTTCTAGTTCTATTTAACCAGAGGACTGGATTAACTGAAAATTTCTATATTGTTAGTTCAGTATTAAAGTGAACAATGTAAGTTAACGTCATGAAGTATTCTTCTCTATTCAGCCTTTGTAAGAGACCTTAAAATATATTTATGAATGAACTTCCCATATCTGGTGACTATTACACAATCTTGGGGCCCAGCCAACATGCTAAAATTGACGTCATAGATTCTCCATCTTCTGATTGGTAGATCAAAACCAAGCCTTCTATTTATGCTTTTCCTATGTCATTCAGCACATGGATCAAGTCATAGATAGGATCATTTAGGATTGAAATATTTATTGAATTTAAGTAAGTTCAAATATGATTGTGACATGCTTTTCAAAATATAATTACTTTGTCTAAGGGCCTGGAATAACTAAGGATGAGGAAAAGAATTGTGTGGATCTGAATATTTTGTTTATTTTGGTTGGTTTGTTTATATGGAGGTCAACATGACATCCTGAAATTTTGGGAATGGGACTTAAAGTAGAAGTATTAGTTATTATTTATCATCATATTTAATTTAATTTTAATGACCTGAAAATGTAAAATTAGATGTGTGAGGTGAATATTTGAGCATTTTTTACATGACAGAGTTAATAACTACTTTATATTTAAAAAAGACTAACATCCGGCTTAACAATTCATCATTATCAGGGCCGTAGGGAGAGGGGGTTCGGAGGGTTCGTGCGAATCCCCCCCCCCCAAAAAAAATCTTGACTAAAAAAATCCGAACCCACCTTTTCCGGGAATTGTGCAAACCCCCAAATTTTGAGTTAATGTTTTGCAGTATTTCACTTATCTATCGTTTTTGATTACCGAGGTATATACCGATAGATATTCGAGGTATATGCAAAGATGGAAACAAGTGAGAAGTACAACTTTATCTCGTCAATGAGTAAAATGACTGAGAATAAAGAAAAACGATCTATTTTGAAATGGGCGATGATAGGTTTGCACCTTGCATTTTGGGCCTGAAATACTGTTCTGATACCATCAAAAGGAATTCAATTGTACAAATAAAGCATACTTACCGAATATGAGTCTGTTTGGGACATAAGGTCAAAATGGTCCCCAATTTATGATATAAAGCAGAGAATTTTGAACATTTGAAAGTTCAGTGATGCAATGCACGTGGTGCACCAAAGTCCTGAATGCTAGAAAATTCTATTTTTGGTCAGGAGTCACTTTCAAAATTGTTTTCTTTCATTGGAACTCATATTTTTGCAATTTTTTGCCTCTTATTTATTGGATGAGCACATTGAGAAAGTAATGGAAAATAGACAATTGAATTACATAACGTATGCTTGATTAATTTGGAGGGGGAGTCTATGTCAGATAATGTCCTGAGCTATTTATTTTGGATTTATTTTTCTTACTTATTCACAAAGTGGTAAGACATAATTTGGAATTTTAACAGACCTTTGTTGAAAAATGTTCTAGATTTTTGCCTATGTTCCAAATAAACGAAATTGGTCAAAAGTTGGGATATTTCACTTGTCTTATGATTTTGCTCATGCGATTTAAAACTAAATTCCGGCAAACTGGCAAAAAGTAATAAAATTAATCAAAATTCGGCAAATTTGGCAAAATTTAAGCAAAAAAGGCAGAGATTAAGTATATTTAAAAAGGTTTTTACCAAAATCACCGTTAGGTGGCTGAAAAAAAGTTTTGCCGAAAATATTCGAACCCCCTCCTGTCAAATCCTGGCTACGCCACTGATTATGTTTATAAAGCACCATCACACTTCAAGTTCAAGCACTAGACTTCAGTCACATTGTCCAATTTGGCGTTTGTGTTATTTTGGTATATAAGAATTGTGTGGATGAAAAATTTAAAATTTGGTCATCATGTAATGTATCAATTCTATACCCTGTTTCCCTTGGTTTACAAATCCCTTGAAACAATTGTGTTGAGTACAATTATTATTACTCCAAAAGTAGTGAAGCGATTTTGTTCATATTTGGTATGTGAATACTATAAGCATGGCTCACTATCTAATGACACTTTTGGTAGAAGGTGGCCATTTTGAAAAATGGCCACCATTTTAACATATTTTACTATAACTCGAAAAGTAGTGGAGCGATTTTGTTTATATTTGGTATGTGAATACTAAAAGCAGCACACTGTCTAATGACACTTTTGGAAGAAGGTGGCCATTTTGGCCCCATTTTAACGTATTTTACTATAACTTGAAAAGTAGTTCAGCGATTTTGTTCATATTTGGTACGTTTCATATTTTATATGTGAATACTATAAGCATGGCACACTGTCTAATGACACTTTGGGTAGTAGGCTGCCATTTTGAAAAATGGCCACCATTTTTACGTTTTTTACTATAACTTGAAAAGTAGTGAAGCGATTTTGTTCATATTTGATATGTGAATACTCATGAGCCTTGCACACTGTCTCATGACACTTCGGATAGTAGGCGGCCATTTTAAAAAATGGCTTTCATTTTCACATTTTTTACTATAACTTGAAAAGTAGTGGAGCGATTTTGTTCATATTTGATATGTGAATACTCTAAGCATGGCACATTGTCTAATAAAACTTTGGGGAGTAGTCAGCCATTTTGAAAAATGGCCACCATTTTTATATGTGTTATTTTACAAGTACATGTGTGCAATTTTTCAAAAATTTTATAGGTGGCTACTTAAAAGCATATTATTTCTTCTGATGACAACTTGGCTAGTGAGCAACCATTTTGAAAATGGTGGCCTTTCTTGTGTGTTGTTTTATGATATTTGCTATATATTTCGTTTGTAAAAATGCCTGGGATTCGATGGGATTCGATGGGATTCGCTACGCTTTGGCGTTGCCGTTGTTCTGGTTAGTTTTTTAAATGATATCACCAATTGATTGTACAAAATTGGCTACAAGCCAGTCATCAGTGCATATGTGCCTTCCTCACTCAAAAAGGGAAGAATTGCATATAATATTACATTTATCAGCTATAAAGGCAGGAATATTTTGGCTTAGTGTCAACTTGTCTCAAAACTGTAAATTTACAACCAAAATATTAATTTTTTCATGACTCGCTGGCTTACACTTTTGAAAAGTTTGCAAACATTTCATTTTAATTCTATATTTCATTTTATGTAGAGAAATCAGACCCAATGATGAGGGATATACGGTTAAACCTTTTGAAGTGAGCACCTCTCTTTAGTGAACACTTGTGTTTTGTGAACACCACTTCAGGACATATATTACATTGTCTCCTTTATGAAATACCCTCTCTGTAGTGAACAACAGTCCATAGGTGTTCACTATATACAGGGTTTACTATACAGTGAACATTATATTTAGCCACAACAAATTATGTAGGTAGTTTTTCACTTCAGAGAGGGTGTTTTTATTACAGAAGTGAATGTAAAATGTGTCTTGATGTGGTGCCGAAACACAGGTGTTCACTGGAGAGCTGTGTTCACTAAGGCAGGTTTTATAATGTATCGGGAGACTTGTATTTAATCACAATTTATGAATGAACTTTTATGCCTGTCTTGTGACTGCACAATTGCGAAATCCCTGTTCAAGTAGCCAATAGTCTAGACAGTATATGGCAGATGATTTATTTACCATTTAAAGGTCACATTCAAGAAATCTGATTGGTTATAGAGGCCAAGCCCATTAGTTTATTTTGGCTTCATTCATTCACTGACTCATTCATGGAGGGACCTTTTAAAATGGACTTGGGTTTTTTAATAAATGTACTATTATGTAGCCTCATTGTAGGCAAGGTTTTTTCTTTTCCTTTATTTTGTACTAATACTCAACAGATCTAAAACATAAGGTACATGAAAATAGGAGAAAGATTGTTTTACTTAAGGGAGAAAGACCTCTATGATTTATGGTGGAATATATGACTGAAAATTTTATTGTGTACATTGTAAAAGACAGAAATCACATAGCAATTGAGGTCTTTGGCAATGGGCAAAAAAAATCTGAGGTCATATATTTGCCATATATCATAGAATCAAGGTCTTTGTTATGATAATCCCATCGAACGAAGTTCGGAGGGATATAGGGAACACCTCCATCCATCCATCCGTCCCTCCGTCTGTCTGTCCATATGTACGTTCGTACGTATGTCTGTCCATACGTACGTCCGTCCATTATATAGGACATTATTAAAGCTAGAAATGTAGTTATTTAAGAAGCACATGGCAGCCATCTTGAAAAATGGTAGCCTTTACTCAGTCAATATAAAACATAACTTTATATTTAACTGTACACAGTCAAATTAAAATGGCAGCATCTGTAATATAAATCATAATTACTGAATACATGTATATATTTTTTTTGTGTTTCAGAATTCATCAAAGTATATTATATTATAAACAGACTTTATACCTGTACACCAGAAAATAGTTTTGGGTAAGTTATAAAAGATTGGTTCATGGACAATATTAGGATTTTTAGAAAATAAACATTTGAAGTCAAAGGGTCCTACCATATGAATTGCTAAAATTTTTCTTGTAATTTTTTGTTCTTTTTATGACCTCAAACCAGAAAGAAATTAGGAAATTTCCAAAGAATGCTTCATGCTAACATAAGACGTAATGCCTTAGTTGATCTCTGGGTGTGTATGATGATTCATAATCAGAACCATTATATTTTGACCTTTAAAGTTATACCAGATAATTGATGTTGAAGGTGACATTGTGACCTGTGACGGCTTGAAATTCAGTAACACTTACATATTGGTTCATTCAATATACCATTTTACATTGTTCCTGCTGGAACAATTCCAGCGATTTGAGACACATAAATATATTTGAATGTCATCTGCATCTGCATAATCACATACATAGCTATCAAAATAATAAGGACAATAAACAATAAAGACTCATCACCTACATACAGTGTATATGTCGGATCCTATTGATTCATGTACATTGTTGTTAATACTGTACAATGCAGAATAATCACAATGTTGAATGTTGAAATCATTATATTTCTTAACAACGCTTTACATTTTCATTTTATACTTTCAGAGTTATAAAAAGGGTGCATGATTACAACTATTAATCATGAAGTCGGTTCTCTTCTAAAGTCTTCTTTAAGGTATATTGTTTTGTTAATGTTATTTTCTGTATGTTATACTGGTATAAGACCCTTAAAGACATAATAATAGGTTTGGGTTGAAAAAGAGTTGAGTAAATGTACATGTATGTATTGTCTATTATTTGATCAGAAATTGTAATGTTATCTAAGAAATATGCTTACAAGTACAGATATATCTGTACTCTAAAAGTTTGGTTTATTTTTGCAGATGGATCAACCATTTGAAACATCTCACTCTAGTCGTAGAAGTAACCACCCCTTTTATATCAGATATGCCTTCATTAGTATATCCTAGAAGGCAATGCCACATCAAAGAAGTTCTCTTGGTAAGTTGAGTTACTTACTTTGGTTCATCAAGATACTTATTTATTTGAGAATTTAAAAAATGTGTGTCAAAATATATAGTTGATTGATTGATACCCCTCGCTTAAAACTAAGAATCCAATACCCCGGTATTGTGATGTCATGTTACTATAGTGACCATAACTCTACCCACATTTTATCATTTTTTCTGAAATTACAATTTTAATTGTATTACTTCAAAGTACAATTTGTGAAAATTTGAAGACATTTGGTACAGAATTGACAAAAACTGCTTATCTGTTGTTTTTTTTCGGATCCAAGAGCACACTAGTGCCAACATCTGATTTGTTTTAGAGTTAATAACATGGTGCACATTTTGATTTTTTGCTATATTATGTTATGTTGTTATGGTGTCTGTTTTTTACGTTGGCAGTTGGCGTCAGTAACAAATTCTCAAAACTTTCAATAACTTAACAAATACTGTTTAGACTAACTTCAGTTTTCAGAAGTGCAAATCTGACAAAATACAATTACAAATGCAAAATTTTACAGATTCAAAGGTCTTCAGCTAGTTATCCAACCAAATGAAGTTAGAGGGGGATATAGAAAAGCCGACCATCCGTCCGTTCTTCCGGCAGTTTGTTCGTCGCTGTGTTTGGGCGATAACTCAAATATCGGTTGACGGATTTTATAGACTTATGCCAAATAGTCGTAGGACATCTGCTCAAGAATGAATTTTCAATATGGCCACTCAGTTCAAAATAGCCACCATTTTTCATAAAGATGTAATCTTTGATATCTCAAATACTGGGATTTGCTATCCGTGGAGTTGCTGTTTTCCAGTTAACTTTGTGAACTCTGAAGGATATGACATGATATCTAAATCTACTGGGTGTTAAAATCATGCTCTTCACTGTGTGTTTTGTTTTTTGTTTTTAACATCCATACAAAGAACTATTATTTTATTCAAATAAATGGTGTTTAAGGGTTACAATCCTAAATATAATGGAATCTTACCTTGTATTCGCATCCTCCTAAGCAGGTATCCAGAATCCGTACCTCCTTCTTCCCCCTGCTATAACCAATTTGGAAGTGCCCGATTTAACTGAATCATGTGATCTAATTATGCGAAATGACTTATACATGATATCTGTCGCAGTGTTGCGACAGCCAATCAGATTGCGAGTTCTTAATTGGGGAAATGCTAACTGCTTATCGCAGGGTGTAAAAAGAAAGAATATATTCTGAATTTTGAAGCCCTGTGATCGGAGGATGTGTATTCGTGAATGCAACTAACGCCTGCCGGCTACCGGATTAACCTACAAGTTTATGGTCAACTCATTTAAATATGAATGGAATAGTGGCAGGTACTATTCATATTTAAATGAGCTACCAATGAAATTGTAGGTTAATCCGGTAGCCGGCAGGCATTAGTTGCATTCGCGAATACAAGCTTAAACATTAAATTCAGTAACTAATTAACTAGCATAATCTTTCAAAACATTATAATGATTGAATTTTTTCTCATTTTTTACTGCAGATTATGCTTCCAGCCATATGTTTTGCACATTTTATTACTTTATTTCAGCTTATTTCCCTTGTTTTGATCTCACAAGCTGTAGGGCAAGATTGTCAGGATTTTCATGATTACTCTAAAAATGAAACAGAGTGTGGAAAATGTGAGAGATATCAGTGGATATCCTCACCAAAAGGAAATAAAAAGGAGCCGTATTGCTTGCAGTGTCCTATAACCTGTGGTCTGGGGCGAGGACTAAATAGGGTTAGTAGATGTTTTATATTACTGAAGCAAGCCTTACATGTATGTAGTAGCTTTCCAACCTGCTGCCTTATCCCCAATACTTAAGGAGTTTGTTCACCAGCAAGAATTTACAGGGGCAAATTTTTTAAAATATCTTAGTTTGCTTTTGAATTAATGAAGTTCTGTTTTGAATCAGGTTAAGTTAATGGGCTCCTTGCTATTATTCACATCTCATTGTAAATAAGCTCCTCCGTCCAGTTTTTGAAAAAAATTAGTTCATGGTCGAATTGATTAATTTATACTTCAAGTTTTTTTTGGTACAGTTTATCTTTTTTCAAGTTTTAATACTTTTCCTATCTTGATTTTCAATTGTTACTTATATATTTAATGATCATCATCTTGTGCAATAAAAATAAGCATTAAATTGAGCTCATCATGTATTCATCATTCCTGCTTTTTAGAGTGCCAACATTGGCTGGTAAGCTTAAATGTTTGCATGCGTTTTATTATTTTCAACATGCTAAGGCATTAGGTATAGTTTTGGGGGAAAGTTATTGGATGTTATGGGCCTGTTAACCCTCTTACCTCCGCCACTAGAGACATTATATTTAGATGGTTAAAATATTTAGAAAAATAATGGTAAGCATGCTGCATGAGTCCTGTTACCCGTTAGATTAAGCATGAAAAATTTAAATTGCAACCAATCTCTAAAACTAGGAGCCATTATCCAAACATATACTTTAAGGTTCACTTGTATACCCTAAATTACATTGTGTAAAGTGTGTGATGTTTCAAAGAGGAAGGACTGCTTGGGTGTGGTACAAACTAAGTTCAATAAATATATGGTGTCTATGTCTGGCATGGTGACCTTTAATCGCATCACCTCATAGGCAAAAATGCCCTAATTCACGTCACCATACTAGTCAATGGGCAAAAGGGCAAACGCCTGACTTTTTATCTCGAGTTATGGATTTATGTGGCCTCACTGGCCTATCTGAGGTTCTAAACCTATGTCTAAGCTACATCTTGACACTAAACTCAATAGGGGCCAATCATCTACTTTTTGAAATAATTGGTCAATTGTGACACTACCCCCTCTCTCTGCAGACACAAATTGAAATTCACAAAAATGAAGGCAAAATTAATACGCCACTTGACTCGAAATTTTCCTTCAGATAACCCAAATAAACGCATTTTCAGAAGAAATGGCATGTTGCCATTGCAAAAAGATTACAACTGTGCCTACATACTAGCTTACTGACTCGTCATGATCACAATTGTGTTGGGACTACATTTATTTTTGAATACTACTTTTTTCTATTCAGCGGAAGTGACGTATTAGGGCATTTTGGCCTAATAGCCACATGGTTGGATGATTTCTGGCTTTAAATTGCGTTTTTTTAATTTACTAGAGTTTTTCAAGTAGTTTTGTGCAGTTTAAGAATATTCTGACAGCAATTATGAAAAATATGGCTACTTCATTACCCCTGGGGTCATTTTTCCAAGAACCCAATGGTTTTCCTTTAAATTTGACTAGTTTTTCATTTACATCATGAAATCCACTGCCTGATGGTGACATTTTTCAGTATCGTGTCAAGAAATTGAGTATTTTATTGCATATTGCGATTTTTAGCCAAAATCACTGAACCGTGAACCAGAAAATTGGACAAATTTGGCCCACTTTTTGGCAAAATCTTACTAAAATCATCACTTTTTCATACTTTATTCCATTCAACAACCTCCTGATTTGAAAAATGATGACAAATTTGATCAGTTTTGACTCTGGCCTAGAGAATTGGGACTTTTGAGATATTTTTTAGCTCGAATGTAGTCATTCAGAGTGAACAAATGCATTAAAAATTGACACTTAACTCACCAATTTCTGACTGCACCCCCGATATGTACCTTCTTTCTATACTGGAAACCATAAGATGGAAAATTCAATCTTTATGATGAATAGCAACTCGTTGGCTTCCCCATTTACGACAACAAATGACATTTAGGGGTCACTAAGGACAAAATTGTAGCCAAATATCGTCAAAATCAGTGGTTTTTGGGGTAAAAAGCGAAAACTGCTGATTCAGCAAAAACATTAAATTTGTTCATGAAAATTCCCCTTTTTGCCTCCGTCCAAAATATGTTTCACACTAATAAACTTCAATTCTGGGCGATTCTGAGTAGTTTTAAAAATTTTTGGTCACTTTCACATGTGACTAATAGGCAAAAATGCCCTAATTCACGTCACCATACTAGTCAATGGGCAAAAGGGCAAACGCCTGACTTTTTATCTCGAGTTATGGATTTATGTGGCCTCACTGGCCTATCTGAGGTTCTAAACCTATGTCTAAGCTACATCTTGACACTAAACTCAATAGGGGCCAATCATCTACTTTTTGAAATAATTGGTCAATTGTGACACTACCCCCTCTCTCTGCAGACACAAATTGAAATTCACAAAAATGAAGGCAAAATTAATACGCCACTTGACTCGAAATTTTCCTTCAGATAACCCAAATAAACGCATTTTCAGAAGAAATGGCATGTTGCCATTGCAAAAAGATTACAACTGTGCCTACATACTAGCTTACTGACTCGTCATGATCACAATTGTGTTGGGACTACATTTATTTTTGAATACTACTTTTTTCTATTCAGCGGAAGTGACGTATTAGGGCATTTTGGCCATAATAGTATGTTAGGGTTATCATCAAGTTATGGGGATTCCCCTGGTTGGAACTTTTTTCACTCATCAGTATTTTTTAAAATTTTAAATGCACTTGTAATTTGCATGCCATCTAGTCATGTACCCAATGTATACAAGAGAGAAGGCTAACATAAGTTGAAAAACAACATTTTTACAATTTTCTTATTCATTTAAATCTTTATATCATATAAAATGGTTTTAATAGTGTATATAAAAACCTCTTTACGTCTGTGTTAAAAGTGGTGTTTTATAGTGGTTTCAGTGGTGTTGGCATTGGTCTGAAGGTATTGATTGTGTGATGTCAAATATTATTGTGTTTTGTACATGTGGGACTTAGTGATTAAATGATGTTGGATATTGTAATTTTCAATACATTTTCAAAACATTTTCTCCACTCAACATTTTTTGCAAAATTTCATTTCAACCATTTAATTTAATTATTATTGCTGTATACATTTAGTGTTATAGTACTGCACATGTATATTAAAGAATTGTGATGTCATGAAATGTCAAGAAGATCTGTATTTCTCATGTCTTAAGTATTCCTATACCAACATACATGCATATCAATGACCCCAAAATTGCTATTTGATGTATTTTAGCGTGTGTGAGCATTATTTTGATATAAATTAAATTGTGTGCTATTTGGCCAAAGCACAAACTATTAAACAAAAAGTTTACTCCAAATTGTGTGTTTTTAATGGTAAGTTTAATCTTGTTTTATTTAGGAGTGTGGCTTGGGCCAAGGAGAAGGAGCAATATGTATAGACTGTGATCCCTTAAAACATTTCTACAGTGATGAGAGTGCCCCAAAAAAGTGCAAGCTCTCCATCAGATGTGAATCTGTTAACCGGGGTTATAAGAAGAGAGCTACTCGTAAATCTAAAGCTATATGTGATGAATGTTTGCCTGGGTAAGACCATAATTTATTTAAATAAAAAATGTCAAGTTTTTTCTTCTAAAAATATGAATCAAAAGAGCAAGAAATAATCTTTTTTATTTTTATTAGTTATTGGTTTTAGCTCTAACAGTATCTGCCAGACAAGACATTGTTTTTTTTTACTTTCTCTTATTTGTTGCAATCTTTTTCAAAATTCAATTTGATTCAAATGTGAAACCAGATAGCACTTACATTTGATTGGCTTCAGGTTTTTGGTGGAATTGTTTTCCCAAGAGCCGTTGCAAATAGGCATACCAATCTGCTGCCACTCTGCTTAAAATCCTTAGAAATTGCATCACACAACATTTTAAATAGAGTAGTATTCAGTGAATAATATACCTACTAGCCACCCTAAATTTGCAAGCGTTAGAGCCTATAAGTTAAGTTTAAAAAGAATAAGTGCCCTTCCCTTTTTGTCTGGTGTTAAATTTGAGGAAAGTGTTGAGTCATTTTAATATACTTTAGTTGACAAAACAAATCTCTCTCGCATTCAACTTCAGTGGTGCTGTAGTACCATGATTACTACAATGCTGTCATACTCAGAACAAGTTGTGGTTCGATATATGTCTAACATCTCTGATTCTCCTATTTTACACATTATTATAGATTATTTTGTTTAAAGGTCTAATTTATTCAGAGGAGTAGAATTATTAATGTGAACGGCCAGACCGTACACACAATCGTAATCTAAACAATCACAACCTCCCTCTATTTTTAAACGTCATCGAAATGAGTCATTCTCTCATTGGCTTTTATATTGTATATGCGGGTAATTGCATTCTGGTATGCCAGAGCCCCGCTTCTCTAGTGTGTATTTCTAATTTGTCGAGTACAAAACTAGTGGACACTTGACAAAAGGTCTACATGTAGTATTAAAAAAATCCAATATTATACACTGGTAGTATTGCACAGACTTTGAAATTATGGTGTAGTCCCCATAAAAAATCTTGTTATCAAGATGGAAAAAAAAACATTCATCCGTTGGACATTAGCTTAAAATTTTCAAAACGTAGAGCATGCCATTTAGATCTGCTTAGGTTTTGAGCATGATAGATACATTAATTGATGAAGTCACCATTTTGTACTTCAAGCATGATATTTATCCCTGCAGTGTGTCTTTGTTTGTTTCTAGGGTGATCTTTTGTTTGCAGATATGTTCCATCTGTGTTTCCCGATGAGATAGAGTGCGAACCATGTAGCATCAGACCTGAGCATCCAAATTGTACAACAACAACAACAACAACTGATATGCCAAAATCAACTTCCTCAGTAACACCTCTGTTGATTTTTCCCTCAGTTGATACCCCCTCTGTCACACCTAATATGAAATCAACTTCTCCAATACCACAAGAGAACAAAAAATCTGTATTTGAAAATAACCCAGGTATGATTTATGAGATGGGTCAATACTTAGGAAATGTAGCATGCATTTGGTTTGTCTTCCATGCATCCATCATATCTCTATCTGCAAAAGTGAAATTATTTACACCAGATTACCAAATTAACCATTTAATGAATATATGTTGATGTAAGCGAGAACAGTTGGAGAATGAGGCTTTTGATGAAATTTAATAGACAGCGAAAGTTATGCTTTAGGTCAAGTATATCTGGCAAATAATAACCATCCTCAATCTAATTATTCATTGGTGCATTATTATCTAAATATAGTTTTAGCTTGGATGAAAAACCACCTGGGTGCTACCATTATGATTGGCATTGTGGTGGGCCTTCTTGCTGGTGGAGGTTCTGTGGCTTTCATCATCTATTATTTCTGTTGTGTAAGAAGAAGGCAAGAAAATCAAGGTAATTCACTCTATTTAGTTATTTATATGATGGTAAATTGGTCCATTTAACGTGATCATACCTTTAATTGCATCAATAATATTAAATTTTTTTATCTTTTTTTCTGGCAGCCATTATAGAAGTATATATATTAATCTTGTCATTGGGATTCCTGAAAAACACCCATTAGATTTAATTTATTAGGCTAGCTAAAAAGGGGGCTGAATTGATGAATATACAAATAAACAAATACCATACCTTACGTAAATCAAAAAGCTGAGATACAATGATAGTTTGATTAAGTTTCACTGAATATGAATTTAAACTGGAAAACTAGAAGCAAAAAAATGTCATTGTTCCGACTGAATTAAAGCAAGCTGACATATCAAATTGACACTTCCATTTTGGTTGATAAAGGGAACAGCAATTGCATTTTAAATGACTTGAAATATATTTCTCAACATACAGAACATCTTTTCAGTAATACCCTAGCCTTAAGCCTAATGTGGTAAAGGATGAGTTGTCTCAGGGATATAAGTTACCATTTAGATTCTTATTTTTGCAGATAAAGATATTGAAAAGGGGTTGGAACAAAGTGATTCAAGAACATCACAAGGTATTATATTATTTTTTATTCATCTTTCATTTTTAGCTCACATGATGAGCTATTCTTATTATTAGCTCACAGTGTGTAATCGCTTGTCCATCTGTCTGTCCGTCCATCCGTCTGTCAATAATAGTTGCAAGTTTTGAAATCTCTGTCGAAAGATTCCTGTATTAGATTATTTTTGTTCAGCATCAATACAGAAAACCCCCTGTCACTCCTCATTCAAGAGCTTGGCTATTTTCAAAAATGGCTGGCAGCTGTTCTGCATTTTAAAACCCATGTCACTGTTAACAGTAGTCTTATGCAAAAAACACAGCAAAAATTCATATCTGCTTTTTTATTGTCTGCTATTTTTGAAATTTTTGATCCTAAAATCTTGTCTATGAAGTCTTGTCTACAGGTATCAAGCCAAACCATTTGATTTGTTGATCTGAAACTTTCATTGATGTTTCTTTGTTTAAAAATCTTCTAATGCTTAGTCTTTGGTCATTCTGGATAAATTTTTGGGTAGCAACTTTGGAATTTTTATCTAGAAAATTAGTAGAACACTACTTTTTTTTTATTCCATCGAACAAAGTTTTAGGAGGATATAGGAAAGCCGTCCTTCTGTCTGTTCGTTTGTCCGGGCAATAACTCAAATACCAGTTGACAGATTTAATCCAAATTGTATGGGCTTATGCCTTATGGGTGTAGGAAAGAGGGGGGAAAGCCCCAGAGCTTTAGCCATGACTGACATATTACGACTCTTGCGTACCACCTTCATTTGCGCAAAATCTCAGCAGTTAGTTTTGTAATATAACGCGTCTTTGTGATGTTTTAATTGATGTTAGCATATTCATTACATATTTCTTTATCTTGATGTGAAAAAACAAGCTATGCTATTGGTTAATACGCCAGGAATCAACGTAATATTATTCGAAGCGTTATTAGAAAATTTTGAATCCTCCATTTTCATCCTCCGATCACAGGGCTTCAAAATCCAGAATATATTCTTTCTTTTTACCCCCTGCGATAAGCAGTTAGCATTTCCTCGATTAAGAACTCGCAATCTGATTGGCTGTCGCAACACAGCGACAGAAATCATGTATTAGTCATTGCGCATAATTAGATCACGTGATTCAGTTTAATCGGGCGCTTCCAAATTGGTTATAGCAGGGGGAAGAAGGAGGTACGGATTCTGGATACCTGCTTAGGAGGATGTCCATTTTTGTTTATTGATTTGGACCAATCAGAGGTGTATGTCATCTCAATACAGGTTTACATAATGAGCGTATGTCATCTTTGAACTCTGGGGTTAATCCCCCCTTGGATGTAGGACCTCTTCTCGAAAAGGAATTTTAAATATGGCTGCTCAATTTAAAATGACCACCATTTTTAATAACTCAAATACTAGTTTACAGATTTAGTTCAAATTTTATATGTTGATGTCTAGGGACAAGAGAGCTTTGTTCAAGAAGAGATATCTAAGATGGCCACTAAATTCAAAATGGCCACCATTTTTCGAAAAAAAATATAATCTTTAACTGAAATACCAGTAGATGGATTTCGTTCAAATTTTATATGCTGATGCCAAGAGACAAAGGAGCTTTGCCCATGATTTGCAAGAGCAAACGTAACGAGAGAACACAAGCAAATCATAGGATTTTCTTTTTATTGATAATTTGGCCTAAAATTAAAAATAAGGCCAAGTGATCCCTAGGAGTGTATGCATGTAACAAAATTACTTGTAGGATAAGAATTTATCAGAGTTAATGTCAGTGTTTCATGATGCAGGCTAATAGTGGGGGGAATTTACCCCTATATTTGGCAGAATATTTCAGATGGTGATACAAGTATAAACTTTTGCTTTTCTACTACTTCAAACCTTTTTCAAAAAATCTGTCCCTGTGATCAATGGATTTTTTTACTTTTTCCCCCCAAAATTCAAGATGGCCGACACACTATAGCTCGGAAACAATATTTAGCTCTGATTTGGCAAATACAGCTGTAATATAAAGTTTAAATTGTGTTTTCAGGACTAAATGCACTAATAGGTACATCACATAATACATGTCATGAGCTTAAGTCAAAATAAATAATTATATGGGAGTTAAGCAAGGTTCATTTCTGGTCCCCCTCTTATTTTGTTCATTTATAAGTTTGTATAACCCTACTCCTATGAATTAAACATAATTAGTAAGACTGTTCTTAAATTTTAGATTTTTATGCTCTGCTACATATCAAATTAGTATGTATAAATGACCGTAGCTTAAAGAATCGAAGGATTTTCACAAATAAATGTTTTATCGAGTACAGACATTTACCATGCATTCACAATTACAGACTATTACAGCGACATCAGGACCACTAAAAGCAAATTCAATTATTCATTAAATTTTGGTTGAGGTTAAAAACATTAATACAGTCCATCAATGTATTCTATGCATTATTGAGTATGAATATGAAATATGTGGTTTTCCATGACTCTTCAGTAAGGAGGAATGAAATATCAAGCAGGAAGGTGATGTGAAATTTGAGTAAGAATTTGCAAAATTTAATCTAACAAAAATCTACGATTATTTGTAGAATTTTGATTAAATGTAAAAAATTAATTCATCCCTTTAATATATTTTATGCATTCTTTCACTGTGTTCAACCCAAACGCTCTTACATGCACAACGGACTGTTTCATCCACGCGGAAACGGGGCTAATGAAGATCCCACTATGACTGTAAGTAAGTTTCTCTTACATATCACACGTTATGGTGACATATTATGTACCATTCGATGAACAATACCCTGATCAAAGCTCCATAGTGTAGATCAAACAAATCTGAAGTTGATGAATTGACCACAAATTACGAATTAAATTAGTATTTATATGAAATTTGCTCTAAAACATAAAACTATTGACAAATAAACAAAAAGTTTATATGTGAATTAATCTTTCTTCTTTTGATGCCAAGGGATACAATAGATCTTTTCTTTCTCTCATTGAAAAGGAAAGTTGAGCCTAGTACCGCAGTCTTTCCAGTTCACTGTGTTAACCAGATCGCAGCATTTCTTGAATATGAGAATGTCATTATTTTTAAGACTTGATTTTTTGTTATCGAATCACGATTACGATAATGTATGGTTTGATCAAGGTTTGGAATTTGACCAAAATATATACTCTGATGCTCAACTCAACTAGTCGCATGTCTCGACAAACAGGGTTTTGACCGGAAGAATGACAAATACGTTTATGAATTTTGATAATTATACTGCTTAAGACAGCTCTTCCTAATTGCTTCAAACGTCAACAGCCACCCAAGTACAATATATCACACCCATCAAATGGTATACTTGAAATAAGTAACACATACTTCTTATTCCCATCATTGGGGAAATTGTCAGATGACTAATCATTTCAGTAATGAAACGCTCAATCTTGCATGTAAGAGCGTTTGGGTTGGACACCGTGTCCTTTAATTGTGAAAATCAAATATGTGGGATGTCATGACTCCTCAGTAAAGAGGAATGAAATGATTGGAGGGAAGATAATTTAAAATTTGGGTAGGAATTTGCTAATTAGAAATTAAATCTTCCAATATTCTACAATTATTTTGAATTATTAAATTATCACAATTTCTAAATAATATTTAATGAACAATTAATTTTGTAATGTCTGGGGCTAAGGCCATGGATGGTTTTTAAGAATAAACAAAAATGAGTATAAAAATATGGTAAAAAATCTATTCTAACATTTTGCAAACATGACATATCTGCAACAACTACATGTACTAGGGCAACAGCCCAACTCATATGTGGGTGTTTTCCATATACAGAACAAGTGAAACAATTGATATAAATACACCCAGAAAGTGCTTATTTTGCAAAAAAAGAAAGACCAATCGAGAGAATTCCACCTACTCACATGCCTTGGAATAGCACATTAACCCCCCTATCACACCAAACTAGATCTTATCCGTTCTTGCCAGTCCTACGAAAACGTCGTAAAACGGGCTCAATCTGGCTGTGGTCGGGAAATATGTCTAAAATAATTAGCTACTTCGTTCATAAACAGTCTTCAATATGTCCATCTCTTTCTTAGTTCGTTCAGGTCGCACCACATCGGTGTGTAACGTCGTATAACACGTCCCTTAGTCTAGAAGGTCATCATGACCTGATTACAGAATGGTATGATCGTCATCGAATTTTGAATCGATTCAAAATTCTAAAATCACCTTCCCGTCTGAGAACGTTCATGAAGTTCGTGAATAGACCTTAGAAAGTTGCAGCTACGTTCATTCCGTTCACAAACAGTTTAAAAACCAGTTTTGAAGAACGCAGTGGCAACTTGTTTTGGGTGATAGCTATATTTTTGCTAATTCGTCCATCAGCAGTCTTAAATACGTTCTTAATCAGTTTAAACTCGTTTGCAATTAGTTCTACCTAGTTCTCAATACGTCCTCAGACAGTTCAACTCATTGTTGAAATGTCCCTAGTAGGATTGAAGTACGACGGTTCCCTTCGTATTATGTCCAGCTCGTCGTTAGTACGGACGTTGTCACTCGTTCTAATTGTAGAACGTATCGACCACGAGAACATTTTGAGCATGTTCTAAGTTCTAGAGGACCTACCCGTTCGAGTACGTTCGATGAAGTTTGTAAATAGACCTCAAACGGTTCTTAGCTATAGTATGTCCAGTCCATTCGTACACAGTTGAAGCCCGTTTTGGAGAATGTAGTGAAAACTAGTTTGGTGTGATAGTAGGGTAAAGGAACAGCTTACCAGGCTGGTGTAGTTTGGGGACAAATGCTAAATGCTTCACCACCTGGCCTTTACGACTACATCAACTGGGGATGGGACAATAATGAAACTGTTACCCCACTGTGGACATCCCAGACACAGTCCTCCAAAGCCTGCCAAGCTCTTGTACAATGTTCATATAAAAAGGTATGTTCTGTATGCACTTGTAAAAAGCCAGGACTTACATTTTGTGACAGTATTTATGAGATTGAAATTATAACAGAGTAAAAAAAGACCCATGTGAAACTCCTTCAAAGGCTATTTTGTATTTGGAAGACAATAATTTAATTTGAACCTGAAATATAAGATAAAATGATGTTTGAAATATTATCTTTATTCAAGAAAACAGGTCCATTCACTTAAGTTGTTGCAAAATAAGAGCCCTCCCAAAATACTAGATGTAAACAACATGCTTTACTACTGAAACAGTATTATTTTTAAACCACATTTATCTCTATATATGAATCTACAGTGTTATTTGTACCAAATTATGCGTATATGGCGGCCATTTTGAATTTTTCTTGAAATACTGTTCGGTTTTATCGATCACAGGGATGGAATTTTTCCTAATAGCATAATAACAGATGTAAAAAGTCAAGACTTACATGTACAGACTTGTGCAATTGCACATGCAATTCTGTATAAGTCATTAACATTTTATGACAGTATATATGAGATTGTGATTATAACAGAGTAAAAAGGAACCATGTGGAACTCATTTAAAGGCTGTTTTATACTTGTAAGACAATAATTTAACTTGAACTTGAAATATAAGATCGAAAAGATGTGTGAAATATTATCTTATTCAAGAAAACAGGTTCATTCACTCCAATTGTTGCAAAATAAGAGCCCTCCCAAAATAGAACCTTGTATAATCCCTATATAAAGTCATTTTGTCCAAATTCAAATCATTAATGAATGTGACTGTATTTCTAGATGTAAACAACATGCTTTACTACTGAAACAGTATTCTTTTTAAACCACATTTATCTCTATATGGATATAGTCCTGAGTAAGGACATTAGCGGTTACCGTTAGTGATTTGGTTTTCTGAATAAAAAGTCATTTTCTCCTTCCCTACCCCATTGGAGCGCCATCTAGCGTTTGGGAAGTGAATCGGGAATAAATATTTATAAGGTAGGTCCTAATTTATCTGAAAACATGTCAGAGTTCAGTGGGAAATCTCATTTTAAGCTGGTAGCGGAGTGATTTTGACCTTGGTGATTTTACCAGAATTCTCTGAGAAATCTGACGATAGAGGGGGTAAGTGTCTTCAAGTTTATTTATTTCAAAAATTCGGTGGACAACCCATGGTAAGATTGTTATAGCAGGCTAGGCGAGTCTCTCCCGAACACTGTGGTATGTTGCACTAGGCTTGGATACTAATCGTTAATAAGATACAGGGTAAAATGTTATAATGGCCACCTATGGGAAACTCTACTGTGATCTTCAACCTATAAGAAGGCGCTTTTTTGGGGCATTTTGAAGGTTTTATCCCTTTTTGAGGTTTTTTAGTTCATTGAGAAGCCTAATAGCGCATATCATATTAAAGGGCTGTATCTTAGCTGAACAATGCTACCAAAATCGTGACATTTTGAAGCAATTTTGGTGTTTTGGGGGCGAGGCCACTGTGCCAAGTACCCCGAATTTCATTCTCCCGTGCCATTCAATTGTTTTCGGGGCAGTTTTGAATGAACCTTTGTTTCTTCCTACCAATATGACGTCATAAGATGCAATTGAACGCCTTGGCATGGATATCACTTGAAAGATAGTAGAAATCGCTTTCCAATGATACCCCATATGGCCATGTTCACCTCAGTTGGGTGTACTCAATCTGTGATGCAATCCGTAAGGTGTACCCCTACCCCAAAGAAATTTCAAGAAATCTCAAAATCAAATTTCCTGAATTTTGCTAAAAGGACCTGTGTCTATAAGAATTGAATTTTCCTCCGTACTTTTTCTCAAATATAGGATTGTTATATACCATTGTGATCGGGATAATGCCTACAATGCTTATATAACCATGTTGGAAGAAAACAAACTAATTCAGTTTACTATTAGGATATAGTCCTGAGTAAGGACATTAGCGGTTACCGTTAGTGATTTGGTTTTCTGAATAAAAAGTCATTTTCTCCTTCCCTACCCCATTGGAGCGCCATCTAGCGTTTGGGAAGTGAATCGGGAATAAATATTTATAAGGTAGGTCCTAATTTATCTGAAAACATGTCAGAGTTCAGTGGGAAATCTCATTTTAAGCTGGCGGCGGAGTGATTTTGACCTTGGTGATTTTACCAGAATTCTCTGAGAAATCTGACGATAGAGGGGGTAAGTGTCTTCAAGTTTATTTATTTCAAAAATTCGGTGGACAACCCATGGTAAGATTGTTATAGCAGGCTAGGCGAGTCTCTCCCGAACACTTTGGTATGTTGCACTAGGCTTGGATACTAATCGTTAATAAGATACAGGGTAAAATGTTATAATGGCCACCTATGGGAAACTCTACTGTGATCTTCAACCTATATGAATCTATAGTGTTATTTGTACCAAATTATGCATATATGGCGGCCATCTTGAATTTTTCTTGAAATAGTGTTCGGTTTTATTGATCACAGGGATGGAATTTTTCCTAATAACATAAATAACAGATTAAGCCATTAAATTTGCTTGTATCACCAATTGAAAATATTTTCCAGTAAATTCCCCCCACTATAATAATTAACTTCGTACTTGTGCATGACATGGGATAAAAATCATTTAAATAGGAATGTTTCGCACTATGCTTTTTTGTATATTTTAGAAGAGGAATCTGGATATGAAGGGAGCCTTGACAGGAATGATGAAACCAAGACACCACTTTTAAGGTATTTATATTTTATACTACTACATAGTACATTGCATTATATATCCAACAACCCACCCAAGGTCATTTGTTGAATAGTTGTCTAGGTGACAAGTTGAATACAAATTGAAATTAATACTTTGCCAACTTGACCCTCGTAAAACATTTCATTGAAAAATATGTTTTTTTAGCGATTTCGTATCTTTTAGGTGATTTTGTAGAAAATATTTCGCAATGCGTCAAAAGAATTTAAGCCCAGACTCAATGCACTTTGGCTGATTCTTTTTACTCAGGTGTTGTTTCCTAAACTTAGCACCACAAGACAAAATCGTATGAAATAATTTGCAATAAGCTAGTTATTATCCCATCGAACGAAGTTCGGAGGGATATAGGGAACGCCTCCGTCCGTCCGTCCGTCCGTCCGTCCGTACGTACGTACGTCCGTCCGGGCAATAACTCAAATACCGTTGGCCCGATTTTGTTCATATTTTGTACACATATACCCTATGGGGGTAGAAGTTCTGCTCGAAAGCCGATTTTCAAAATGGCCGCTCATTTCAAAATGGCGGCCATTTTAGTGCCGAATTTACAGTAATTTAGGTGCAATATGTAAAACTGTAATAGCAATATGTTTGAGATGTAAAAAAATTATATAGGACATTAATAAAGCTAGAAATGTAGATATTAAAGAAGCACATGGCAGCCATCTTGAAAAATGGCGGCCTTTACTCGTTATTTTACGATTTTTGCTGTAACTTGAAAAGTAGTGGAGCGATTTTGTTCATATTTGGTATGTGAATACTATAAACATTGCACACTGCTTAAAGACACTTTTGATAGAAGGCGGCCATTTTGAAAAATGGCCGCCATTTTGAAAAATGGCCACCATTTTAACATATTTTACTATAACTCGAAAAGTAGTGGATTTTGTTCATATTTGGTATGTGAATACTATAAGCATGACACACTGTCCTATGACACTTTTGGTAGAACCAACTGAAAAATGGCCGCCATTTTAACGTATTTTACTATAACTCGAAAAGTAGTGAAGCGATTTTGTTCATATTTGGTATGTGAATACTATAAGCACGGCACACTGTCTAATGGCACTTTTGGTAGAAGGTGGCCATTTTGATAAATGGCCGCCATTTTAACATATTTTACTATAACTTGAAAAGTAGTAGAGCGATTTTGTTCATATTTGGTATGTGAATACTAAAAGCATGGCACATGGTCTAATGACACTTTTGGTAGAAGGCGGCCATTTTGAAAAATGGCTGCCATTTTTGCTATATACTTTGTTTGTAAAAATGCCATCCATGGCTGTTCGATGGGATTCGCTACGCTTTGGCGTTGCCGTTGTTCTGGTTAAGCTTGTTATTATGGTCTTACTAGTGGTTATTATTGAGTAATGGTACAGGTATTCAATATGGTATTGCAGCTTACACTTAAGTAATGGTACACGTATCCTTGGATTTTAGGCCCGAATACTTAGGTTTATTTTTTTAATTATCGTGTATTATTATTTTGTGTTAATATTAGTTAACCATCTAACTATGAGCATGATATGATAACCTTGTTATATTAATATAGCGCATAGGCGTAGCCAGGGGGATGCGATGTGTGCGATCGCACCCCCCCCCCTCCATAATCAATGAAAATAGAACCATTAGAAAGAAGAAAAAAGTCTTAAAATGCTTTTTATTTGAAGCTTCTAGCTCGATTTTGAACGAAGTTGCACCAATTTTTGTAAAATTCAAATCAAATCTTCAAAAACATTTTTTATGCCACGATCGCACCCCCCCCCTCCCCCGACTGAAAGATGGCTACGCCACTGTAACGTGTAATCAATACGCTACATTTTGTATGTTCAATTTGTATACTAAAAACTATTATTAATCAACAAATTTAGATGAAGACAAGATAAAAATTCAAATCAAGAATGAAAAGGTGTCTAAGTATATAAATCTTAAGGGTAATGCATATTTGAATTAAACAGAGGCGGGTTAATTTATATTGTGCTATGAACTACGCTATTATTCAAAATTGCAGCTAAGATGCCTGTTTTATGATACCCTGCGTGCAGAGTCTAGTTAAACTACACTAAGACGAAGCTCTCTTTCAAGAAGTGAAGTCAAACGAATGCAAAGGGTAGTTTTGTGAAAAATATCACGGAAGATGTATTCTAGATATCAGTAGTATTCTCAGAAATTTATTATCCGAAACGGATAACATCTGGCCACTCAGACAAACAATCGCAGACATAGGCTAATAGGTAGTGAGGTAGCACCGAAAAATGTACCCGCTTCTGAACAAATTGAAATTACTTGTTTCTTATGTATTTTTATGTGATACTTCAGAAAATTTGACGCGTCTGACGTCTGGCGTCTGACGCGCCATATCCGGGGCGAAAGTTGTCAAAATTGGGTTTTTGACCCTAAAAAGGAAAATTACTGGGGGTACATTAACATCATTGAATAATTCATTCAGTTAGTCTTCAATCATCATAATGATTTTATTGAGAGTTGATGAGATCATTTTAAGGTAGTATGCAAACTTTCAATGGTCTGTCACTCGTGGTTGCCATGGAAACCACACTTTTTGCTGAGAAAATCCTTAATTTTGGTAAAACCTGTACCTGTACAAAATATATAATGTGGATTATTTTTCAAATCAACAGATATCAGAACATTTTAGCACTCTAAAAATCACCAGGGCTGTCCAAACATTTGTTTAAAGAGAAAGAATATTGCAATTTATATGACTGGTAAGTGTCAAAGACCATACAATTACATAAGTGGTCAAAAGTGGGCGTCGCCCTCATAATAGTAGTTGATTGCCATTCTCTATAAATACAGAGTTTTACTTGACTTTTGAGATACATTTATATTGAATTTCTTTGGTTATACTTAATATCAAGCATTTTTACATCTAAGTGTTATAGTTATTGCATGGGGATACAGGGGGGAGGGGGAGGAGGGGGGGTAGTAACAGAATTGGGAGGGGGCAGAGCTTATCAGCCTTAAGTGTAAATCTCATCTACATGGTTCTAGATTTCATAGGGTACAGCTTCTGGGTCTTATTATATTCATCTCAATATATAAGATATAAGAATTCTGCATGATTGGTAAGTGTCAAAGACCATAGAATTACACATGTGATCAAAAGTGGGCGTCGCCCTAATCATAGTATATGGTTCATTCTCTATAAATACAGAGTTTAACTTGACTTTTGAAGTACATTTACTTAAAAACATCTTTGATTTATACTTAATGTCAAGCATTTCTGGTAAGTTATATATGCACATCTAATTGTAATAGTTATTGTCTGGGGGTGGAGGAGGGGGGGGGGAGTAACAGAATTGGAAATGGGCAGTGCTAATAAGCCTTAAATGTAAATCTCATTTATTTAGTTCTGGATTTCAAGGGGTGCATCTTCTGGGTCTTCTTCACTTCTGGGTCTTCTTCATCTCAATATATGGGATATTCCAATTTACATGATTGGTAAGTGTCAAAGACCATACAATTACATAAGTGATCAAAAGTGGGTGTTGCTCTAACAATAGTAGATAATTCATTCTCTATGAATATGGAGTTTAACTTGACTTTAAGATTTATTTTTTAAATTAAAACTTCTTTGATTACATTTAGTATTGTAATATTTATTCCCTGTGGGGGGCAAGGGGGGTAGTAGCAGAAATGGGAGGGGGCAGAGCCAATGGCCAGTCAGTCTTAAGTATTAATATCATAGTCTGATCATTTTCATTCACCTCCCGATGTTAATATATTAACAATATCATGCGGGAGAATATTAAAAAGCCTTTTAAAAAGGTGCTATTGCTATTGCCCCTTCTGCATGGCACTTCATCTGTGAATGTGTGAAGTGCTAGGAAGGCTGCATATATGTCAGGGTCTATATTGGAGGAAATACCACTGACATCAGTCTTCATTTGTTTCCAACTCAAATATCCAGCAGCACACTTTGCTGTATTTGCTTTTTGTTTTCATCATCATACAAGAACTAATTCCAATCTTTAGGGACTCGTGCTTTTCTACCTCAAATAGGTCAAGGTGTCCCTCCCCTCTTTCAGGTTCCTTTATAGAAATTTTGATGTAATTATCACATACGAAAACGAATCAATCTGCAATTGTAGAATCTTGAAACAGTCTCCGCCAGATCCAGAAACAAAACTACCTTTCAAGTTGAATTATGGTTTGGGATAGTTGGGGTTTGTTTTCCTTATGACTTGTATACATTTAGAAGTTTTCTTTTTCTTGCTGGGTTCTATTACAAATTTTGGTCCTTTCCCTTTGGCACTTGTGGGTACATGTTCATGCATAGGGATGTGTTTCTCTGTTCTTGCAAGAAGTCCAGTCAGTGTTCCTAGAGCCCAAGGCACAGGGCTCAATAGGAACTGCAGGAGACATTCTAGGCTAATTTTATGTTCTTAAGCAAGATCGAAGCTGTTCAAAGATGTTTCATTTAGAATGTATTTGTATAAGCTTGTTCTGAGTACTTTTTTACTGTCACTGTCACTGTTGCTGCTGTAGTTTGCTGCTATAGTTTTCAATTTCATATGTTTTATTAGATCATGAAATCTTTTTTTTGTGCGGTTTTTGTCATCTTTATGTCTTCTTCTATACTTGCTATTTGTGCCTTTCCAAGGTCGTTATGGGTGTCACACTCATCTCATCTCTAGATAATTTTCCTAAGTTGGTCTAATGAATGACTGTCTGATTGTTGTAACCATTTCATCCATATAAAGCACTTATTGTCTGTATGGCCCATATTGCAAATCCTCGTAGTGAACCACCAGATGGACTTGAATGGAAACTAAATGACTCCATATCTTTCCAGTGGGTATTGACTGATATTCTCATACAAGAGACTGGTGATAAAGCAACACCAGGAGATGAATCAGAAAACCCCAGAAGATGTACCCTATGAAATCCAGAATTAAAAAGATGAGATTTATACTTAAAGGCAGATTAGATCTACACATTCTAATTCTGTTACTACTCA